GCCGGGGTCCAGGGCCCTGGGGCCTTGGCGGTGGTCCCGCTGCCAGCGTTGCCCGCGGTCCGCGCGGCGCCCCTGCCCCCGCAATGGTCTTTCCCTCCCGGAGGGTGGACACACCTTCTCCTGGTACGAATCACAGGCCCTGGATGGAAGGAGAATCTCTGCCTCCTAAGCCAGCTCTGAATTCACCTAAGCTGGAGAAGGACTGGAAAAGGGGGGTCCCAGCAGACACCCGCCCCCCAGGCTGCCAGGGTCATCACAGGCAGTGACCCATGCTGGCATGTCTCCTTTGGAAGTTGCCGTGTGAGGACTTCCAGAGAAGTTGTTCGGTCCTATCTAGATTCATACGTCCCTGCAGGCCCGGGATGTGGGCACCCCTGCCCTGGGCAGTGCTGGCCCTGACCTCTGCCCACAGCCCTCCCAGACGGCTTCTGTGCCCTCCTACGCACAGCGGCCCCTTCCCACCTTCTCCGACCTCAGTTAGTTAGAAACTAGCAGGGCAGGGGCCACCTGCCCGTGCCATTCGCCACAGCCGCTTCGGCAGTGCGTGTCCCTGTGGGAGGCGCTCGCAGCAGCTCAGTCAGTCCCTCCAGCTCTAGGCCTGTGGAGGTCCAGCCTCAGGTGGCAGGTGGCGGGTGGCTGGTGGCCTCTGCAGTGGTGCTGGCAGGCCTGTAGGTGGGGACAGAGAGGCTCTGCAGGGCAGAGGTGAGCAGGTCTGCCAGGTGGAGGGTGGCCGAGGGGCCCAGCACGAGGCCTCCGTCTGGGTGGAGGGGCCCCGGCTGGAACAAAGCTGAGAAAAGGACCAGGTAGGATGGCTCCGCTGACTGGGGACCAGAATCAGGTGCCTCGCGGTACTTGGTTCTCGGTCCCTTCCCCCCAGAGTGGCATGCAGTTGGGTAATGGGCAGGGCCCTCAGCGCCCATGGTGGCTGTCTCTATCTGTGTCTTGGGGAGAAGGATCTAGGGGCACCCGCCTAGACAAGGTGGCGTTGCCTTGGGCCTGGGCGGGCTGTGGAGGAAGGTGTCCCAAGGGGCTGGGCTGGCACAGCCTGTTAGCCGACAGCCAGAGCGGTGTCATAATTGGCCCCCAGGAGGGATGTTGTTGGTCTCCTTCCACCTGAACACTCCACCTCTCCTGGGGCCACCCCCGGCCTGGCGCTGGGTGTGAGCCGTGTGATTCTCGGCACGCTCCGGGACTGTGTGTCCAGGGATGGGAGGGTCTCAGGACAGAGTTAGATCCCTCTGAGCTGATGGTGTGAGTCAGCCCCGGTGGGCCTCACACGTCTCTCCACTTGCTCTGCAGTGATGGCCGATCCCTTCTGTGTTGGAGCCAGCCGCCGGCTCCCAGGGTCCAGCAAGAGTGGGCCTGGGAAGGATGGCAGCCGGAATGAGGTGCGACTTCCTGTGCGGCATGACCCACCAAAGCTGGGTAAGCAGGGGCGAGGCCAAAGTCAACTCCAAGCTATCACGGTCAGCCAGTGCTGCATGTGGGCCGCCTCCCTGCACGTCTAGCTCCTGGTGGCCAGGTGGGCCTTCCCAGGGTGGGCGCAGCGAGGGGCCCTGGATTCTTGTTCTCGGCTGACTGTGCCCTATCTGCTGTGCCTCAGCAGTGAGGGTAGCAAGACTCACTCCAGGCCTGACCAGCCTTTTGGGTGGCAGGGAGGCTGCGGGGAGCACAGCCTTCAAGGCTTGGTGTGTCGTGTGCTACAGGGTTGCCAGTGGCCCGGGGTGGGCAGTCGGTGCCCAGCCAGGCCCCACTCTGCTTCGACCCGGGAAGCCTGGCCAGTGACAGGACGGAAGGGAAGAAGAAGGGGCGCCCGAAAGCCGAGAACCAGGCCCTCCGAGACATCCCTGTGAGCTCCCGAGGGCAGGGTGGGCTCGTGCGGGGTCTGCCCGTGAGGTCCCGCCCGCCTCTACTTGCTTCGCGCACGTCCAGCCCTGAGCTCTCAGTCCATGTCTGCAGGCCACTCTGCACCTCAGGCCTTCGTGGTGCGGCCGGGGCCCCAGACAGGTCTTGTGCACCCCCGCTGCTCGGGATGGCCTGAATCTTGCTGCGGTCCCAAGGTCGGGGGGCCCTGTAGCCTGTCAGTTTGCAGGCCTGGGCAGGGTGCTGAGTCGAGGGCTCGGGCTGGCAGAGGCCTGGGTGGCTGAGGGTCAGCAGCCCGGCCTTTCCCACACCCAGCTCTCCCTGATGAACCAGTGGAAGGATGAATTCAAGGCACACTCCAGGGTGAAGTGTCCAAACTCGGGGTGCTGGCTGGAGTTCCCCAGCATCTATGGACTCAAGTACCATTTCCAGCGGTGCCAAGGGGTAAGGGGCTGTGGGCTGGGGAGGGGGCCTGAGCCTGCCCTGCCCCAGCTGCCGGGCAGAGGCCGGGGCAGCCCAGCCCATGCCTGCCCTCTCTACCCAGGGTGCTATCTCAGAAAGGCTGACCTTTCCCTGTCCCTTCTGTGAGGCCGCCTTCACCTCCAAGACCCAACTGGAGAAGCACCGGATTTGGAACCACATGGACCGACCCCTCCCTGCTCCCAAGCCTGGGCCCGTCAGCCGGCCGGTCACCATCAGCCGGCCTGTTGGGGTCAGCAAGCCCATTGGAGTGAGCAAGCCTGTTACTATCGGCAAACCTGTGGGTGTCAGCAAACCCATTGGCATCAGCAAGCCCGTGACGGTCAGCAGGCCCGTGCCAGTTACCAAGCCCGTGACGGTCAGCAGGCCCGTGCCAGTCACCAAGCCCGTGACGGTCAGCAGGCCCGTGTCAGTCACCAAGGCTGTGCCGGTCACCAAGTCTGTGCCGGTCACCAAACCAGTGACCACAAACAAACCAGTGCCGATGACAAAACTTGTGACAGTTACCAAACCCGTGCCAGTCACAAAGCCGGTGACGGTCAGCAGGCCCATTGTGGTTAGTAAGCTGGTGACAGTCAGCAGGCCCATTGCCATCAGCAGACACACACCGTCCTGCAAGATGGTGCTGCTGACCAAGTCTGAGAACAAAACTCGGGCCGCAGGGAGGAGCAGTGGGAAGAAAAGGTACGGGGCTTTTTCCTTGTTGGGGCCGGGTGCTCCCTGCCTGCAGCTGGCGTAACAGGGTCCAAAGTGGGCCCTCCTGCCCCTTATCTCCCTGTCGCCTGCAGGGCCGCGGACGGCCTGGTCGCCTGCCCCATCCCACCCAAGCAGACGAGGCCAGAGAATGGTGAGCATGGCCCGTCCACCCTGGGCCAGAGCTCAGCCTTCCAGTTGGGCACAGACCCCAGCGGTGGCCCCCTTTCTGTGGGCAACAGGCCCTCAGGAGGCAAGGAGGCTCCGAGGGCCCCAGGTCCTGTGTCCCCCACCGAGGAGGGAGCCGAGCGCACAAAGCACAGTAAGACGAGACGGGGGGGCAGTGGCCGGCCGGGGTCGGGGTGGGGGCAGCAGCCGGCCTCTCGATGGTTATTTGACCAGACTCCTGGCCCCTGTTTTCTCTCCCTCGAGTCAGGAAGGAAACAGAAAACACCCAAGAAGTTTACGGGGGAGCAGCCATCCATCTCAGGAACCTTTGGACTCAAAGGTGAGGTCCCGGCCGGTGGGGACTGGGCTCGTGCACAGCGCGCTCGTGCCCCAGGACCACAGCCGCCCACCCCACTTGTGCACACAGGCCTGGTCAAGGCAGAAGACAAATCCCGCAGCTACCGTGCCAGGAAGCAGGAGGGGCCGAGCCCCGAGGACGTCCGGAAGAAGGTGCCGGCCCCTGCCAGCACAGTCAACAAGGAGGTGCCGGCCCCCACGGCCCACCTGGCCCCAGGTGGGGTCTCCTGTGTGGTGGGGCCCAGGCCAGGTCTCGATGGTGGGGCAGGTCCTGGACCACGTGGATGGGCGGCTGAGCATGGACCCTGGGTTCTGCGCTTGGCATCCAGGGTGTCCCGGAGCGCCCGCCAGCCCCTGAGGCCCCGGCCCTGCCCCACAGGTGGCCCCGAGGAACAGTGGCAGCGGGCCATCCACGAACGGGGGGAGGCCGTCTGCCCCACCTGCAGCGTGGTCACGCGGAAGACCCTGGTGGGGCTCAAGAAGCACATGGAGGTGTGTCAGAAGGTAAGGCTGCCCCTGAGGACAGGAGTGGCGGTTCCTCGAGGCCAGCTCCTCACAGGTGGGACTGTGTCTACAGCTGCAGGACGCACTCAAGTGCCAGCACTGCCGGAAGCAGTTCAAGTCCAAGGCCGGCCTCAACTACCACACCATGGCTGAGCACAGCGCCAAGGTATGCCCCTGGGCCTAGGCGCATCCAGCCCTGGCCACTGTCCCCAGCCTCCCGGCCCATCAGCCCAGCCCCCTGCCCAGTCTCGACCACCAACCTCAGGAGGTTAGTGGCCCCTGTGCCCAACCTTGGACACCTGGCCCTGGCGCTGGGCAGGGCAGGGCCCGTGGAGGCGAGGCACTGAGGCCGGGCCCGCCCCCCAGCCCTCCGACACCGAGGCCTCCGAGGGGAGTGAGCAGGAGGAGCGGGAGCGGCTGCGCAAGGTGCTGAAGCAGATGGGGAGGCTGCGCTGCCCGCAGGAGGTCAGTGGGGCGGCGGGCGGGCCGTGCGGCCGGGGCACGATGCCGGGCTGGCCACTCACCCGACCCTGACCTCCAGGGCTGTGGGGCCGCCTTCTCCAGCCTTATGGGCTACCAGTACCACCAGCGACGCTGCGGGAAGCCGCCCTGTGAAGTGGACAGCCCGTCCTTCCCCTGCGCCCACTGCGGCAAGACCTACCGCTCCAAGGCTGGCCACGACTACCACGTGCGCTCGGAGCATGCGGCCCCGGTGAGTGGCCGGGCCTCCTGTCCCTCAGGCACGGAGCGTGGTGTCCGTGTGCCACCTGCTGCGTGCGCTCCCCCCACCCGCCCCACTGTGGGCCACGTGCGTCAGGGAGCGAGCCTCGGACTCCTGTTTCCATGTTCCGCACACGCCCCCACCTGGGCTCCCTGCACCTCCGTGCCATATGGCCCTGGTCATTTATCGAGGTCTCCTTGCCCTGCAGCCCCCTGAGGAGCCCGAGGACAAGCCCCCTGAGTCCGAGGACCTGTTGGGTGTCGAGCGGACCCCCAGTGGCCGCATCCGCCGCACATCGGCCCAGGTTGCTGTGTTCCACCTGCAGGAGATTGCGGAAGATGAGCTGGCCCGAGACTGGACCAAGCGGCGGATGAAGGACGACCTGGTGCCCGAAACGGCACGGGTGAGCTCCTGGTCCCTGAGCACCCCTGTGGTGTACCTGCCCCATGGCCTGGGGCTTCCACTGACCTCCCGAGGTTCAGATCTTCCTGCAGAGGACACAGTTGAGGGTCCCTTGTAGCAGCCGGGGTGTCGAGCTGGCTCTGGCCCGCCCGGCCATCTGGGCTCACCCTGGCGCTCGCCTGTTGCTGCAGCTCAACTACACCCGGCCGGGCCTGCCCACGCTCAACCCCCAGCTGCTGGAGGCATGGAAGAGCGAAGTCAAAGAGAAAGGCCACGTCAACTGCCCCAACGACGTGAGCCGGGGCGGGCTGGGGGCGGGGTGTGGGGACACTGGGGCTTAGAGACAGAGAGCCCTGGCGTAGCTCTGGGCGGGAGCTTTCCAAGCAACCAGCCTGCCTGCGATCCCTGGGCCCCTGCAGGGTGGGCAGGGAGGCCTCACCTCAGCCCTAGAGGCACACAGCGTGCCCACACCCCGGGACACCTGGGGTTAGCCCCCCTGCCCCACTTGTCCAGAGAGGCCCCAGCGTCCCCGGGCTGGGGCCAGGCTGCACGTGCTGGGGGTTCCGCCGGGAGCCCCCCTGACTGCCTCCCGCCCCCAGTGCTGTGGAGCCATCTACTCCAGCGTGTCTGGCCTCAAGGCCCACCTCGCCGGCTGCAGCAAGGTCAGTGTCTCGACCCCCCGCCACAGCGGGCAGCTGCTTAGCTGCTCACACCCGGGACATGCAGCCCCACCCCTGTGGGACAGCCCCCTCCACGAGCCAGGGATTGGCCGTGCCCCATGGCCACCCTAGCCCAGGACACTGGCATCCCCCGGTCCCGGCCCTGAATCAGTCACGAGTCGTCTTGCCAGCTGGGGTCCCTCGCCGGCATGGGCACAAGTGGGCCTGCTGCCCTGGCCTTGGGCGAGGGGCCCTCAGCAAGGGGCTGCGCCCCTTCCCCAGGGCGCCGGCGCTTGCTGCCGTCTGTCTCCTTGCCCCACGTGTGGCGGTCGGGCACCTGTCTTGCAGGGGGACCACCTGGTGGGGAAGTACGGCTGCCTGCTGTGCGCAAAGGAGTTCAGCTCTGAGAGCGGGGTCAAGTACCACATCCTCAAGGCCCACGCAGAGGTGGGTGGGCCTGGGCGCCGCGCCGGCCCAGCACAGTTGGCCGGGTGGGGTGGTCTCCGGTGGAGAGATGGGGACAGGACGAGACGGGCCTGCCCGGCAGGAGCAAGGCAGGACAGGGTGGTCGTCAGAGTGGGCGGCCACCACTGAGAGAGCTGGCATTGTCTCCTGGGACTGGACCCCGACTTCCTGGGCGGGCCCCGAGGCGTGGGCGCACCCTCTTGCCATCGGCCGCCTCTGCGCAGTGGCAGGCTGCCCTGGGTCTCCATTGCTGCTCTCTTCTCCCCAGAACTGGTTCCGGACTTCGGCAGATCCGCCTCCCAAACACCGGAGCCAGGACTCTTTGGTGCCCCAGAAGGAGGAGAAGAGCCTGGCTGGTGGGAGGAAGCGGGGCCGCAAGCCCAAGGAGCGGCCGCCCGAGGAGCCTGCTCCCAGGACGCCCCCTCGCCAGGACGACTGGCCCCCCGGAGGCAGAGACAAGGGGGTCCGTGGCTCCGCTGGCCGGAAGGTGGGAGCTGGCAAGGCACCCGAGAAGTGAGCGAGGTGGCTGGCAGGTGGGTGGGGCCCGGACTCAATGCTGGCCACCGCCCCACTCTGTCCAGGGTGGGAGTAGCTAGGTCCGGGACAGTCTGTGCTCCAGTTCTCCACCCCCACCCCTGCCTGTCTATCTGTCCAGTGGGGCAGCCAGCCCCTGTCCCCTCCCAGAGGTTGGCCCTTCCCTTGTGCAGGCTGCTACAGGGCACACCTGGGCTGTGCCCCCTGGGGAGGGCCAGTGGTGGCATCAGAAGTGCAATAGCCTGGAGGGACACTCACAGGCCTAGCAGAGTCTGGGGTCCTGGACGGGCAGGAGGAGGGTCCATGACCTGGGCCTTGGTGCCATGGGGTTGGTGCAGAGTGGCCAGATGCCTTTCGGCCCTCGCCACGCGAGCTGCATGCCCCGTCTGCTTCCTCAGGCCCAAGGCTCAGGGGTCCCTGGTTCTGGGCTGATGAGGGTACCTGGGCAGCCTAGCCTCTCTACCAGACACTGGAACCCCAGCGCCCCCAGCTACCTCCCAGGACAGACCTGAGTCTAACCGCTGCCGTGCTGACCTGACGCCTCCCTACCCCACCACCTCCAGTTCCTCCGCTTCTGTTCTCTACCTCTCCAGGCCCCCCCGCCCCCGTCTGTGCGACCCCTGCTGTGCTTGGGCCCCTGCCCCTGCCCCCCTGGCCTGTGTCTGTCATGGTGGGGGGCCGTCCCCAGTGGTGCTTGGGGCAAGGGAGGGGCTCTGCTTTTCCCACTCACAGGGCTGCAGGAACAGGGGTTCAAGGTCCATGGGTGTGGCTGCCAGCCCTGGGCGTAGGGGCCACGTAGAGCAGGCTCTGCCTCCAAACTCTAGCTTCGCCGACACTACTGGCCTGGCCTGGAGCAGCCCGATGGTTTAGGGATGGACTGGTCTGGGCTCTGGGGTTGACCTGGGGCCCGTGGGCATGTGGGGCAAGGAGCTGAGGCCCGGATCTGAGTGGCTGCTGTAGGAAGTAGCCTTCAGTCTGCTCGGCTGGATTGGCCTGTGGCCAAGCTCCCGTGGGAGCCCCCTTCCCCTGTTTTAACCTGCTCCTTCGTGTCTGGTTGTGTGGTCTTTTGACGTGAGAGCTGAAGGCCAGGGAGGGGGCTTGACCAAGGTCATAGTGGGTCACTTGGAGCTCCAGGGCTCTCTTGGCTCTCTTTGGGGCCCTGAGGATGGCTGGGTCTGCAGGCTGGGCAGGGGTTAGGCTAGAGTCCAGGGCATTGGAGGAGGTGACTACACAGCCTCTGGCCTCCTCCTGGGGCTCTGCCCTCCGAATGTGGCATTGCTGGGAGGAGGAGGATGCTCCAGGCTGCTGGTTTTGAATGGAGGCTGTTTTCCCCGGGGGTGGGGGTGGGGGGTGGGATGAGGGCTCGGCCTTGCCGATCCTGGACGATGTGAATTTTGATATTTGCCCGTGTGCGTGTGTCTCCTGGGTGTGTAGTGGATGCCAGTCTTGTTGCTGTGACAAGTAACAACCTTTTTTTAATTCTGTTTTTTATACAAAAACTTACAACAATCTGACATTTGGTGCTAAGGGTTCCCTGGTGCCAACGGTGGATGTGGGGGCCTGCTCGGGCCCCTGGGGTCCCTCCCCTGCTCAGGGTGGCAGTGATGACTGGGCAGCCCTCTGCCCCCCAGCCCCGTCCTCGTCCAGCCCCTGGAGAGGAGGGGCTCCAAGCTGGGCTCAGCTCTCCTTGCCCTGCAGTAGGGGACAGGTTCCCAGGGGCTTTGGAGCCAGGTTGCTGTGCTGCCTGTGTCCAGCTTCCTTCCTTGGCCAGAAGGTTCTGGTCCTGGGCAGTGCTGGCCTGCTGTGCTAGAAGGGGTGTGAGAAGGTGGGCTCCTCCCCACTCACACGCACCTTGATCTGATCGAAGGCTGGAGGCATGGGCCCGCGGATGCGATCCAGTGTCAAAGGTCAAGGTGGGCAGCATGGGCAGGGCTTCGGTGCAGGACAGCTTTCTTTCCTGTATCCTGGGCGTCACTATGGTGTGCAGCTGGTGGAGGTGAGATCAGGCAGCCACTGCAGGGGCAGCCGCAGGAGGGGAGACGGGAGTAGGCGCTGACAGGAGCCCAATGGCTAGAGGAGGTTGGACCTCAACACCTCTGCTGGGGGCAGCCACCCACCCCAGCCTCTCAGGTACTTGGCCCTTGGGGAGTGGGGGGCTGGTTTTTGCTGGGGGGTGAGTTTCCAGGTCATCCCCCAAAGTCCATAAATGGTCTCTGGTGTGGGAACCCCGCCTAGGTATGTGGGAAGAGGTGGGGTCCTGGATAACTTGACATTTAGCACTTTAAGCCCCTTCCCTATCTTTAAAGTGGGCGTGGGGGCTGCTGCCAAAAGTGGCTGTTGGGTCGGACCCCTCTCTCTGTCCCCTTCGTCCCTCCCTGCTTCCTGCGCTCTGGCTGGTGAGTGGCAGCGGCGAGCTGGTCTGCAGAGCCCTTGGAAGGGGGCAGAGCCCTGGGTGGCTCAGCAGGATCTGCCCACCTCCCACTTTGGTGGGAGCACAGCTAGGTAACCCACCTAGCCTTGACCCACACCTTCAGTGAGAGGGACCAGAGCCGTAGACTCCTGGGGTGTGGTGGGCGTGGCCTCTGCCCGACCCCAGACCCCAGCTGAGGGCTAGTGCTGGTCCCTTTCTGAAGATCTACCTCTGGCCCAGCCCACCCCACTTCGCTCAGAGAACAGGAAAGGGCTGGCTCAAGGGGCTGACACTTCACACAAGAATAGGATGCACTTTATTTGCTTATGCAAAGGCAGATGAGGGTGTCTCTCGGTGTGACCAGTGACCCTCCCCCCGCCCCCGTAGCCCCCTCCTGTTCCTCTGGTTCAGAAGGGAAAGAACGGGTGTACCCTGACCTGTGGAGGGCAGGGCTGTCCCCTGTGTCCTTGCTCTGTGGGCCCCAGGTTACTTGCCCTGGAGCCCTGGGGTTCAAGGGAGCTGGCCAGCACTTCTGGCCCAGCAGCCACACGTCCTGTGCTTTGGGTTTCTTGGTTTGGTTTTTTTAATGCCAGTTCTCCGTACATAAGTGCATTTTGAAAGAGAGGTCCCAGCTATCACTTGTAACCATATATATACATATATATTCTATCTACAAAGTGTTTATTTGCAAGATGTTTTGACGGTGAGCTCGGGCCCTGCCCGCCTTGTGACCATCTGTCCCTGGTCCTCGTCCCCGCCCCGAGGCCCTGAGTGGCGTGGGGTGGGCCATCAACTGTATGTATTAAAAATGACTGTATCAAATAAATGTTTATTGACTTTTTTCCAGGGGTTGTGTGCGGCTGAGTTTGTGGTAACACGCGGGGTGGGGGTCCTTCCCTGGTCGGACGACGCCCGCACGTGGTGGCTCCATCGGACTCTGAGTCTCTACCCAGTCGGTCGCATGGCCTCGTGGGACTTGTAGTCCGCGCGGCGCTTCGGCGGGCACGCGGCGCGGGGCCACGGACCACAGCTCCCGGCGGCCAGTGCGGCCAGCCCCGCCCGTGCGCACGCGCAGAAGCCTCCAAGCTCCATGGCGGCGCCCCCGGCCTCCGCCGACGCCCCCCGCTCGCCTCCGGCCGCGGGAGACAGGCCTGCCCGGCCGGTGGCGAAAAGCGAGATAACATGCGAGGACCGGTAGGCGCGGCGGCCGAGCGCGGGCTAGGGGGGTGCGCGCGCCCCTCGGGCCCGCTGTGGGGTGGGGTGGCCCACGTGAGCCGGAGCTCCCGCCCCAGCCCGGGCTTCCGTGGGGCGCTGCCCGCGAGCTGGGGCGAGGCGGCCGTCTGTCTCCTCCGACGCACGGCCCCCACGAGAGGGGAGACCCGGATGAGCCGGGTCTAGACCAAAGGTGTCCCCGGCCGCGCGGGCGGGGGGCTGAGGGCTGAGCCCGAGGTGAGCCTGCGCGTCTGCACCGCCCCTCCAGGACGGCCCGCGGGCAGGGGCTCGTGGGTCGGGCCTGCGCGGGGCCAGAGTCCGCTGGGCGCCGGAGGCTAGGCGGATGGAGCGCGGCCTGCACCCAGAGGTTGACTTTGCCCTGTGTGCCGAGTGGACGCGGCCCGCGGCACTCGGGCTGCAGAGTGTCCGCCTGACGCTCCGAGGTGGTCCGCTCTGGGATCCGCAGCCACTCAGGACCTGCCCCTGCCCCACCAGAGGCCAGGAGTCGTGATTCTGAGGGCGGGGTGGTGCATGGTGTCCTCTGACAGTCCCGCCTGATGTGGGGGCCCCTTGAGGATTCTGTGGGGGCTTTGCAAGAAGGGAAGTTGTGGGAGTGCGATGGGGGATTAGCCGATCTGTCACCCTGGCCGCGGAGACGGAAGTGGTCAGGAGGAAACAGGCTCCTGCTAGGTGTGCCTTTGGAGCTAGTGTCACCAGGGGGCGGTGACAAAGTGCTCAGGGCAAGCCTCTTGCACTTGAAGGGTGGCTCCTCATTTCCCAGTCTGAACTATCCCCTGGAGAAGCCTCAGGATGGCCACGGGTGGCGCCAGAGGAAGCCGTGGTTCCAGCCTGGGCTCCTAGTCCCGGGGTTGGTCTGGCCCTTGGGCGCAGAAGCGCTGTGCAGCTGGAATGTCTGGGAGCTGCCAGTGCAGCCCCTTAATGGGCAGGGGGAGGAAGCGGGCAAGGGGTGCCCTACGGTGACTGCTGCCCCCCAGTTTCCCAGGCCGTTCGAGGCTGCCTTTCGCCAAGGGGGCACCTTGTGTCCTGGGTTCACAACCCCACTGTGAGCAGTGACTAGGAGCCTGGTGCAGCACTACAGGGTTTAACAGAACCTAAGTCTGTGACACCTGCTGGTTCCGAAGAGTTTTAGGTTTCGCCCAAGATCAGACAGTGGGGTCAGATGAGTTCTTGAGAAAAGCACTCCCTGAAGGCATTGCCCAAGCACAGAGCACATAGTGGACAGGAGTGCCCCTCGTGGTGCCCGGCGAGGCAGAGGCACCATGGAGCCTGGTCCCTGTGGACGGGAGGGAGCCAGGACTTGTGGGCGGTGCCCTTCTCCCTGTCCCCAGGGGTCTGCCCTGGAATCGTCCCTGCTCACTCACACTTTGTCCCCTGGTGCAGGTGCCCTGAGGACCTCCCCTGCCCTGTCTTCAAGCATTCACCCCCCATTCCCTGCACCCCCAGAACTGGCTCCATGTGGACTCCAGGAGTGTGTGCAGGGGCCCATGCCCACTCAGCTTCCCTTCCCACGTCACACAGCCGCATCGGTGTGGTCTGTCCACTTTGCCATTGTTTCTTGTGCCCTTCTAGAGGGTCAGCCCCATGAGGACAGGGTCCTGGGATGCCTTTGCACTGGACATGCTGGTGAACAATCGAGCACCTGTGGTGGTACCTGCCCTCCTCAGGCTGTCTCTTCGGTGTAGTCCAGGTGGAGGCAGGGCTGCAGGAAGCAGGCCCAGGGAGGCTGGCCCAGGCCGGGACGCAGGGCGTCCTGCAGGAGGCTTCCAAGTGGAGATCTCGAGCCTGTTTCAGCCGCTTCAGGGCTGCAGCCTCCCAGACCCCCATTCCCTCTCGGTCCTGAGGAAGCTGCCCAGTACCTCTGTCCCCCACCCCAGGGCTGAGTCCTGGTGGACCAGCTCCCCCCTCTTTCCTCCGGCCTCATTTTACTCAGTCTCTGGGCAAACTTCCTTAGACCTGACTGGGTGTCAGACGTGAGGGGGGCCATGGTGCTGCCCGCCCCGTTGCAGCCCTGCCCAGGACAACACGGGCTTCCCTGAGCATGGGCCATCCCTGCCCATCTACCCAGGTGGGGTTAGGAGGCACAGGTCCTGTGGGCAATGACAATCAGTCCAGTCCTGCCTCCAGGTGCCTCTCTCACAGGCCTAGACACCCCTCCACGTTACCTGGGCAGCCAGGAGCAACCCTTCCAGGTTTCTGAACCTCACGTGAAACTGAGGCTGTGCCAGCTGCGGCGATGTTGGTAGAGGCCGACCTAGGAGAAAAGCTGGCATGTGACAGATTGATCACAGGGAGGAGGTGGGGGACCTGTGGACACAATTCCCTTTCCAGACTTGAGGAAGGGTGCATCAGCCAACCCGTCCTTGCTGAACGGCCCTTCTTCCTGCTGCCAGGCTGGGGAGTGGCTGTGTCCCCCGCAACTCTGAGCACCAGTGGCCTTGGGGGATGTACTGGAGCCTAGCCGAGGGGGCGGGGCAAGCAGTTATTCTCAGATGCACAGGAGGTAGAGTTTCAGATTTGTTTATCCTTCTAAGAGGCACCTTGGGGACAGGGTGGCATGCCCAGCTCGGCCTGGCCAAGACACACCTCAGATTTCGCTGTTTAAGGTGGTTGGCTCTGTAGCCCCAGGCAGGCCAGGGGCCTGGAGCTTTTCCTAGGCTTTGGTGGGTGGGTGCACAGCGGCCCGCAGCAAGCCCGGGCCGGCACTAGGCCAGCCGTGCAGGGAGCACAGCTCACGCCCGCCCCGCCAGCCTGTTCTCTTCAGCAGGGTCAGTGCTATTAATAATCAGGCCGGCACGCGGCCCCCACCCGGGTGATCCTCTTATGCCTGTGACCTCGGTCGCTGTGGCCGGTGCTGAGTGCTGTTCCTTCAGCACAGGGGCTCCCAGGGGCCCCCAGCGTGCGGCCCCCGCCAGCCAGTGGTCGGACTCCACCTGGCTCTGCACCTCCTGTGCCACCCACCCACGGAGGGGCAGTTCAGGGGGCTCCTGAGCTGTCCTGGGGGGCTGCTGTGGGCCTAAGGCAGTGCAGTGGTACCTGTGCACGGACCTCAGATCACCCCGTGTCCTTGCCATGAGCAGCCCCCCGGCTTACCCTGGCATCAGGATCTCGGGGTGCCGGGCCCTTGGAGCAGAAGGCAGGTGAGTGGCCGACCTGTTGTCCGCAGCTGTAGTGAGACCTGCCCCGCTGCATCTCAGCAGCTTCTGGCCCCGTGTGGTCCTGTTTGGTGGATGCTGGGAAACAAGCAGGCTGGGCAGGTGCTGGGGGTGGCACTGGCTTGGCTGGGCTGCTGGTTACAGGCGAGTCTGTGTTTCCATGGCCTCAGTCCTTGGGTTGAGATGATCTGTTGTCGCTGTGTCCACTTGTGAATAGGAAACGAGATCTCCTGTACGACTTTCCCATCTCCAAGTTGGTCCTGCTGTGGCAGTGCGGTGAGGCTTGCTCTGAGGGCACAGTGAGGCTTTGTCCCCAACAAAGCCGGGGCTTGGGAGAGGGCAGTGGGCTGGGCTTAGCTACAGACCTGGCCTGGTGTGCTCAGGCCCCTGCTCGCAAGGCTGAGGTGGCCCGTTCTTGGGGATGGTCGTCGTTACCTCAGTAGGGCAAGGAACAGTCATCAGGAGGGCCCAAAGCTCCCCGCTGCAGAGGTCCCCAGCCTGTGGTAAGCAGGGGGACAGGAGCCCTTGGCTACCAAGCCTTGGGTCTGTGAGGCTGTCTTCACTGCTCCTTTGCCAACCGTGTCTGCTGCCTGCGTGGCAGGCATGGGAGACAGGCCGGCCTGGACTTTGCTCTCAGCCCACCTGGCCACCTGCTCGGAGCGCCCTCTGCCCCTTCTGGGGTGTGGCACATGGGTGGCAGCCATCAGTGAGCCCCCTGCGACCCTGGGGGCCGTGTGCTCCCTGGTGGTGACAGTGTGTCTAGGTGAGCAGCCGGCACTGCCCCCAACCGGGGGCCAAAGACACCACTGCACACGCACACGTCCATCTCCGGCCAGGCTGAGTGGGAGCACAGCAGCACCCCAGGGCGGCTCGTCCAAGCCCGGCCGAGTCCCCCACGTGCGCACTGTCAAGTGGCAGCACCCTGGCCTGTCCCCAGGCCCCACTGCCTGGTTACCTAGGCACCCACTGTGTTTGCACTCACCTTGCCGTAGACGCCGGCACCCTGTTCCGAGTGCACACTGCGGGAACTGGCTGCCTCTGGAGCCGCAGCACCCCGCCGGGCTAATGACTCCCAGGGCGCCCTCCCACTCCCCACTGTCGTAGAGACCAGGAGACACACGGTGGCTGTCGTCTGTCCCGCAGGACCGTGCCGCAAGTCTCCTGTCGGACACGATGGCTGTTTCTTTTGCTGCCTACGTTTGTGCCGATGTCATTGTCCCGTGTCAGACCTCAACCGACCCCTCCCCTGCCCACCCCCACCCTCCACGCATGCACAGACAGCGCCCTCCTGGCTCCGGCAGCACCAGGGTTCTGGGAACAACCACGTTCCTGAGCGGGCGGCACCGGGCCGCCTCGGGGGCAGGAAGGCCCTGTCCTGGGGAGCTGGTGCTGCCTGAGGCCAGTTCCTGGCACCGTGGTTTTCGTGGCGACAGCAGGACAGAGAGCTTCAAAGACAGACTGCGGCCGGGCCTGGTTTTTGATAACATGAGCGTGTGCCTGTGAAACGGTCACACGTGGCGGGCGCCCCCGTTCCCGGTCGCTGTGCCCAGGGTGGCCCCGGCATGGCCCGCGGAGCTCGTGTGAGGGGCGCGCAGGGCGGCGTCTCCGTTTTCTGGCGTCACAAACGGGCCGCGTCTCAGGGTTCGCTCCCCCATCTCGTGCACCTCCGGGGCACGCCGTGTCCCAGCCCGCCGGTCTCCTGCGCGGGCAGCGGGCCGACTCCACGTACTGGCCAGAATGCCCAGCCACACTGAGCCGCCCTGGAGCTGTCCCCATCGGGTTTGAGCCTCAGGCCAGTGACGACGCCATTGCTCCTTTGGGGTGTAAGCCGACAGAGCAGTCAGCACACCGCTCACAGGAGTGACGTTGGACGGGCCTTTCCCAACGGGGTTCCCGCCCTGTGGGCTTTGGGACCTCCGCCCTCCTCTCTAGCATGTGCAGGGTGCTGGAGCGCAAGGCGCAGTGGCCTCCCGTCGGCCTCCCTGCCCCGGATCCCCTCTTGTGGCATCCACGTCAGCACCCTGCTCAGCCCTGTCGTTGGCCTCTCTCCCCAGGAGCTACTCCTCCTCCCTATGGGCAGGGTGGCAAGGGTTGGATTTTACAAAATGAGAGGCAGCCTAGAGAGTGTCCGGGAGGAGACACAGTCCTTAGTGGAGCCTTTGCTGTCCTTGGCGTGGGATGGCACCGCCCATGTGTCTCCTTGTCTTCGCCACCCCCCTGAGCTTGTGGAAACAGGCCTGGGCCCCGCCGGTGGGCAGCAGGTGGGTTCCGCGTGTCCCCAGCCGAGTGTGGGCCATGGCCGTCCGTGCGCCTGCGCGGGGTGCACTGTGCACTGGCCGCGTGGGCCTGGGGGGGCGGGGCGGGGGCGGGGCTGAGGCGATCATGCCCCCTCCTCGCAGCAGCAGCGCAGAGGCCCTGGACAGGCTGCTCCCACCCGTGGGGACCGGGCGTGCACCCCGGAAGCGCACCACCAGCCAGTGCAAGTCGGAGCCGCCACTGCTGCGCACCAGCAAGCGCACCATCTACACGGCGGGGCGGCCGCCCTGGTACAACGAGCACGGCGCGCAGTCCAAGGAGGCCTTCGCCATCGGTGAGCGGCGCCGCCTGCCCCGAGACCGGAGCCGCTGCCTCGGCCCCCGGTCTGCTGGCGGGCCTGGGGAGTGGGCAGGGAGGCTGGCGGCGTAGCTAGAGCGGGCGGTGCCGTCTTGGCGCCCTGAGCCATCTGCGAGGCTGCCCGTGCCCCTCCCGCGTCCTCGCTCCCGCAGGCCTGGGGGGCGGCAGCGCGTCCGGGAAGACCACCGTGGCCAGGATGATCATCGAGGCCCTGGACGTGCCCTGGGTGGTCTTACTGTCCATGGACTCCTTCTATAAGGTGAGGGTGCCGCGTCCCCGTCCTGTCCCCGGGGCCCAGAGCCGGCCTGAGGCCCCCACCCGACTTTCTGCAGGTGCTGACGCAGCAGCAGCAGGAGCAGGCCGCGCTCAACAACTACAACTTCGACCACCCGGACGCCTTCGACTTCGACCTCATCGTGGCCACCCTGCAGAAGCTGAAGCAGGGCAAGAGCGTCAAGGTGCCCGTCTACGACTTCACCACTCACAGCCGCAAGAAGGACTGGGTAGGCCCCACGGGCTCGGGCTGCGAGGGCCGCCCAGACATGCGGGCGGGCGGGCGGGCAAGTCACGGCTCCTGCTCTCTGCAGAAGACACTGTACGGTGCCAACGTCATCATCTTTGAGGGCATCATGGCCTTTGCGGACAAGACGCTGTTGGAGGTGAGGGCTGGCTCTAGACTGGCTATCCTGCTGGGGACATCTGCAGGACTCCTTGGACCACCCAGGTCACTATGTGCACGGGCACCTGTCCTCTGGGGCACAGTCCCTGGATGTCCGGTAAAGAATGGTCCCTCTCTGTACCCACTGAGGCCCAAGGGGAGGCCTGAGGCCACTGAGTTGGAGCTCAGGCCCGGGGAACCCTGCTGCCTTCGGCACCCCACAGCCCCTTCAGGGGCCACCTGCTGCGTGCCGAATGTGGGGCCAGACCCCAGACTCATCAGGCCTCAGCCCCGCTGTGACCGCGCCAGTAGCGAGGCCACAGAGAGCGCAGCGGCCCGGAAGAGGGTCCGCCTGCACCTTCGCCCGAAGCCCCACGGGGAGCCCCCCGGGCCCCGTCCCCTGGGCTCGCTGGGCGGCGGGAGCTGGGCCCTGTACCTGCCCAGGCAGCGCTGTTGCCCTGCAGCTCCTGGACATGAAGATCTTCGTGGACACGGACTCTGACATCCGCCTGGTGCGGCGGCTGCGGCGTGACATCAGCGAGCGCGGCCGGGACATCGCGGGCGTCATCAAGCAGTACAACAAGTTCGTCAAGCCCGCCTTCGAGCAGTACATCCAGCCCACCATGCGCCTGGCTGACATCGTGGTACCGCGAGGTGAGACCACAGGCGTCGGGGGGGAGGTGGCCCGACGCCCCACCCGTGTCCCCCCAACCCCCACGTCCCCCACCCACGTACCCTCTGCCCGCGTCACCCGCGGCCCTTCCCCGGCCCAGGGAGCGGGAACACAGTCGCCATTGACTTGATCGTGCAGCACGTGCACAGCCAGCTGGAGGAGGTGAGCCAGTGTGTCCTGCACGCCCCGCCCCACCGCCTCTGCCGCCACCACCCACCCTCCTGCTCCTGTGTCCCACCCCGTGCCAGCCGTCCCTGCCTGGCCTCCTGAGCCAGCCGCTTGTACTGGACCGAGGCAGCCCATTCCCTGAGAAAGTGGGGCTTGGGGGTGCCCCCCGGTGCTCCCAGCCTGAGCTGGGCTTTGCACAGAACAGGGCACTCCTGTCCTGACCTTTTGGGGGACCATCGGGTTTTGGTGCCGAGTCCCACATCCTTAGCACTCTAGGTAAGACCAGAGTCCAAGGTCACCATGGGCCAGTGCAGGTCCCGGGCTGGCTTCACAATGGGGTGCTGGAGGCCTGAAGCCTGTGGAGCAGAGCCCCAGGAGTCCTCGCGCTGCCTGCCTGGCCCAGAGGGTGCCCAGGTCAGAGGCCACAGGGAGCTTGCTCCCCCCTGTGAGTGCCAGCCACCCGATGCCATCCCTCCGTGGGCTGTGGCACGTCCGTGCCTGGGTGGGGGCGGCCTGGCTGGCCGGGCCACACGCAGCAGTGGGCGGTGCTGGCCGGGGACCACGAGCGGGCCGTGCTGCCGCCACTGACGCCGCCCCGTTCCCTTGTCTCCCGGTTGCTGCCACAGCGCGAGCTCAGCGTCAGGTAAGCTGTCCCCCGCCCCCGTTTCCAGCCGCGGTCTGGGCTGTCACTGGGCAGGCGGAGGCCCCCCCCTGCCGCGCCCACCCCTGGCAGCCCTGCCTCAGGCAGAGCAGGAGCGCTGTGGGAGCCCCCCACTGCTTCTGCCGCCCCTCGTGGGCAGGTGTGGAACTAAGGCCCAGAGAGAGGTTCAGGGACTTGCCTGAGCCCCAGTGGGCCCAGACCCTAGGCTGGCCACCACCCTCTGGGGGCTTCTTCCCAGTGAGGCTGGTTGTGTGGGCTCCAACCTCAGAGGGCTCCGCTGTCCTGAGCTGGCGTTGCCGGACCCGCGGGGCCGTCACCACAGGCATACCCCTCTACGGCCAGTAGGATTGGGTCTGTACCTCTTTTGCCTGATGTAAAGGGCCGGTCTGGACTCCCCAGGTGGTGGCAAAGCCCCAGCCCTGCGGCCCCCTGCCCACTCTGGGCCTGCAGTCAGAACCAGAGAGGCCAGGAGGAGGTCTGGCTGGGCCTGGGGTCCGGCTCTGTCCTGCATTGGGGGAATGAGCTCCTGTCCCCTCAGCGGTCGGCACGAGCCCCTGCCCGCAGCCTGGGCCTTCTTGGAGTCGGGAGGCGCCAGACTGAGCCCTCAGCCAGGGGAGCCCCCGAGTACCCAGCCCCCGAGTGCTGCTGCGGTGCCAGAAACACCTCCTCCTTTCTGCCATGCACGAGGCTGCTCGGCTGTCACGGGCTGGCACCTGCAGCTGTCACGTCAGGTTTTCTGCAGGCCTCAGCTCTGGGAAATGAAAGTTCCCAGGGTTGCAGGAGGAGAAAACGCAGCCACGTTCTTCCTTCTCTGGTCGGCAAGGAAGTGTTGGCCGGTGGCCGCGTCCCTCCCACGGCCCCAGGAAGTGCGGCTGGTTGGGGTGCGGGGAAGAGGGCCCGCTCGACCAGGCCAGGGCTGCAGGGGCTTCAGGGGGCCCTCCTGCCTCTTCCCGCCTCAGGCCAGCTGGTGGCTGCAGGGGCCACTGTGCCCCCTGCTAAACGGTCTCTTCTGTTCTTTCCTTTCCTTTGTAAACCCTGGGGTTTCCTGCTCTGCCCCCCATCTCACTGCACTCTTCACCCGCGAGCAGAGGAAGCTGCGCTGGGATATGTGAGGACAGTCCCGTGTGGGGCCGCCTGCTGCGCTGTGCTGGGCTGCGCCCTCCCCTTCCTGCCCCTCTTCCTCTCCAGGCATGGGGGAGCAGGGGTGCCTCTGAGCCAGCTTCGTCCCCCTATCCCGAGGGGCCTGCACATCACTTGGGGGAGGGGCCAGGGCTTGGCTCCAAAGCTCAGCTGTTCTGGCAGGGAGCAGTGTGCTGGAGCGGGGACCAGCTGCCCATCCTAGGGGTTCAGACTCCTGCTGCCTGGTCCCCTTTTCTCCGGGCGAGCGTGTGGGAGGGGCCGGGCTGAGGGGAGGCTCACCTCGGCTCTTGCTTTCTGCCTAATGGTCAGCTGCTCTGCCTTCGCTGTGTCCTTTAACCTTCGCCTTGCTCTCGAAGAGGCAGGCCCTCCCTCCAGATCAGCCACAGGGAGGCGGCGGCCCCACCCTGCACAGCCCACTGTCTCCACCACACGTGCCCCCCACAGGATCTGGAGTGGGAAGAGAGGGCTCTGGGAGAAGACATCGCCTTCTTGACTCCCCACTCTGTCCGCAGGGCGGCGCTGGCCTCGGCACACCAGTGCCACCCCCTGCCCAGGACTCTGAGTGTCCTCAAGAGCACGCCGCAGGTGCGGGGCATGCACACGATCATCAGGTGAGGGTCCTCCCGTGGGGCAGCGCGCTTTCGGCCAGGGCGGAGCCCTCTTGCTCAACCTGCCGCCTGCCCGTAGGGACAAGGAGACCAGCCGGGATGAGTTCATCTTCTACTCTAAGCGGCTGATGCGGCTGCTCATCGAGCATGCTCTGTCGTTCCTGCCCTTCCAGGTACTGGGAGTGGGGCGGGGTGGGGCGGCTGGGCGGGGCCCGGAGGTACAGTGGCTCCTTGGCTCACCAGCGCCCCCACTCTGCTCAGGACTGCGTGGTGCAGACCCCGCAGGAGCAGGACTACGCGGGCAAGTGCTACGCGGGGAAGCAGGTACCTGCGGGGGCGGGGCCGGGGGCGGGGCCGGGGCCGGGGCGGCCCAGGAGGCGGGGTCCGGACTGCCCAGACTGCCCCGCCCCAGATCACCGGAGTGTCCATCCTGAGGGCGGGCGAGACCATGGAGCCCGCGCTGCGGGCGGTGTGCAAGGACGTGCGCATCGGCACCATCCTCATCCAGACCAACCAGCTCACCGGGGAGCCAGAGGTGCGGGGCGCGCGCCTCGGGGCACAGGGGCGGGAGCCTGCGGTGCAGCGCGTTAGGGCCAGCCCTGACGCTGTGGCTGCCCACAGCTCCACTACCTGCGGCTGCCCAAGGACATTAGTGACGACCACGTGATCCTCATGGACTGCACCGTGTCCACGGGTGCTGCGGCCATGATGGCTGTGCGCGTGCTGCTGGTGAGTGGATCCCAGGGGCTGCAGGTGGCTAGGCTGGTGGGGATTTTCCATCCGGGTCTTTTTGGCGCAGGACCACGACGTGCCCGAGGACAAGATTTTCCTGCTGTCGCTGCTCATGGCGGAGATGGGTGTCCACTCGGTGGCCTACGCATTCCCGCGCGTGAGAATCATCACCACGGCAGTGGACAAGCGCGTCAACGACCTGTTCCGCATCATCCCAGGCATCGGTGAGGCTGCCTGGGCCCCGTCAGCAGGCGTGGGGCCGCCCGCGCTTCAGTCCCCACTACAAGGACCTGCTTCTTTCTGTAGGAAACTTTGGCGACCGCTATTTTGGGACCGATGCAGTCCCAGATGGCAGTGACGAGGAGGAAGTGGCCTCTACGACTTAGCCTGCCAGCCTCTCAGCCTCTTCGCCTTGTCCGCACCCGGCCTCCTGCCTCCTGACCCTTGCTTAGACATTAACTTCATTCAAAAGTATTACCAATGTAATTTATTCTACCCATTTTGTAAAATAAAGTTTTAGGAGAAATGAATCTGTGACTGATGAGCCGGGCACACAGGACTGCTGTTCCGCATGGGCCCTGGGCTTGGGGAGTGGCCCCCAGGGTCACCAGCAGTTTGGCTGCCTCAGTCCCAGCTGCAAGGCCACCATGGAGAGGGTGGAGTCTAGGGTCCTGGCTTGTGCTGGGGCCTGGTCAGTCCCTGCCTTGTACCAGCGGGATGGGCCCTCCTTACAGTCCAGGCTCAGTGCCAGGGTTCAGGGGATGGCAGAGCTAGGGCTTAGGCCCCTGGCTCCACTAGGTGGGCCCCTTGGTGGCCCCTTGGCCTGCACCTAGGACCGCGGGTCTCAGCAGAGACAGCCTCTGCAGCCACGCCCCCACCACCACAAGTCTGTACCACTGGGAGACCCAGCGGAAATCAGTGTGTGGGCGGCTGACAGTGATGAGCTGGTCCCGGCCACTGGCAGGAGCCCAAGTTGCAGAAGAGGTGGCCAGGGCCTCAGTGAGCCAGCCCTGCCCTTCAGGGCCAGAAACCCCACTCAGCCCTGCCTTCGCGCCACCTGGGGGAGGTGTGCAGGTGCAGATGTCTCGGCTGGGCAGGTGGAACATCGGGCGCCGCAGCCTCCCTCTATCGCCCTCCAGCCCTGGCTCTGGCCTCTTTCCTGCCCTCTTGGTCTGCCTACCCCCCGCAAAGGCCGTGTCATGGAAAAGCTTGTGGGGCGGAGACAGGAAGTCACTGGGTGGGGGCCAGACCGAGGGCGGGCAGATAAAGGCGGGAGGCTTGTCCGAGGGGTGGCTGGGCACCAGGGACCGAGGACTGAAACGGGGCCCAGAGGTCAGCAGGAGGGGCTTGCCCCCAACCTGGTGAGTGGCTCCCCCTCCATGTCCCCACTCATTCACTCATTCTTGTGCTATGTACTGGAGACCGGGCGGCCACAGCAGGCCTGGCCTGGCTCAGGCGGTGCACCCAGGCCATGAGTCAGGGACGACTCCCTCTGGCCTTCCCAGGTGGGGACTGGGGTGAACAGTCGTGCAGGGTGAGGTTATTCCTGGGAGTGCCCCCCAGAGTCCAGGCTGGGACTGACCAGCTCCCAGCAAATAAAGCCCCACATGTACACGCATGTGCCAGCACCACACACACACGTAGCACAGAGCACATCCAGACACATGTGCACTCGTGTGCCAGGAAGAGAGTGCCCAGTGGCCCTCACCCAACTCAGCCCTCAGGCCCTGGGAGAGGGTTGCATCCTCCCTTATCTTGGGGTCAGTGGGCACTCAGGACAGAGCCTGGAGGCAAGGAACCCGAACCAGAGGCCCTGCCCCCTCCGGCTGGGACCTCATCAGAGGTGGATTAGGGAGGTTAGGCCACAAGTCAGTTTAGGGGACTTCAGCCCGTTTCCTGCCAGGGCCCTGTGGCGTCGTGGAAGTGGATCACCTTCCAAACAGCCATGGGGGAAGATTTCTGGGGTGCCGATGGGAGGAGAGGTAATCCCTCTGGCCTCTGGGTGGGCCCCAGCTCCAGAAACAGGACCAGGGCCAAGGTCCCAGACTCTCCTGGGAACAGTGCTGGGCTCCTCAGGAGACCAGTCTAAGGAGAAGCCTGGGGCGGTGCCCTTCCAGGACAGCAGACTGATGGGGATGAGAGCTAGGGGTCCTCGTGCTGCCTTTCTGGGCACCTGGGCTCCTCCAAGTCCAGCCGAGGCTGAGGACTGGGTGGGGGTGTCGCACCTGGGGGAGAGTGGACAGCTGTGAGGAGGGGGCTGCAGTCTTGGACACCTGCAGAGCCTGACAGGGAGGGGTGGCTGGGATGGAGACCTAGAGCTCCTCCCTGTACTTGCCCAGCTTACTTGTGACACTCGGGGTGTGGGTCCTTAAGGAAAGACTGCCTGCGGAGGCTCCGTCAGCCGCCTGGGGCAGCCCCTCCAGGACTGTCTAACCTGAGAATGATGTTTCCAGAGGCACTCTCAGGCTCGTCAGCCCGGGAGGTGCTGCCCCTTCCCCACCAGCAGTTGCCACAGGGGCGGGAGGGGACCCTGGCCTGGCAGAAGGGAGCCAGGGCCACCCTCTGGACCAGAAAATAGACTCAGGCCCAGCACTAGGCACACGCGGTTGTCATGCGAGCACACTGTACGTGTCAGCAGCAGGGGCCGGAGGGCTGGTGGGCCCAGGGAAGGACTCTGCCCTCCAGGGGGTACCTCAGCTGGGCCCCCTGGAGCCAGGAAGCACCCTGCTAGCCGCCTGGGTTCCTGGTCCCTGGGGCCAGGTCTCCAAGTCAAGCTTGAGGGTTTGAGGGGAGCGGGGGGGGGAGGAGCCGAGGGGGAGCAGGTGGAATTGGGCTGTGCTTGAGTTAGAAGGGTGGCAGGGCCCCATGTCTGTGACTGCTGCAGGACGAGGCCAGAGGAGGGGAGGGCTGAGAGCAATGGCCACTTCGGTGGGGCAACCGCCAGGCGGGTGGGCCTTGCTCTGGGCACAGGGCTCTTGGCGCATCTGGTCACCAACTGGCTTCCAGCTGGGGGCCAAGAATGTCCTGGGGCCATGTGGCCTGGATCTCCTTGCCCCAGGCCCAGCATGCGTCCCTGACCGAGCTGGTTGGGGGAGCGCAGCCTGGAAGCTGAGGTGCCACGTGGTGCTGCTGTGGGCCTGGAGCGGGGTGGGGGTGGGGTGGGCAGTGCCTCAGGCACAGCCTGAGTTCTGGGAAATCCACACTGAACTGGAGTGCCACAGGGTTTGTTCTGGCTGGGAACAGGAGGTCCACTCCGGCAGTTAGGGGGTACCGGCGGCCTGGGGACAGGGCGGCCCCACGGCAGAAACCTGCCAGTGCGGTTTCTGCCCAGTGCTGCTGGCCTTGGCCCCGATTTGACCCAAAGCAAGGGGACCGGTGCGGGGGGAGGGGCGACAGCGCTGCTGCCGCCCGAATTCCGGGAGATGCTGCTCGGCAACCGCGCAGGTGCCGCTGGGGGCTCCTCCAGACCCCGCGGCGTCCCCGCCTCGCGTGGGTCCTGTGCGCCCTGCGCCCCGAGTCCTGCCTGCTGCTGCGGTTGTTGAACAAGAGGGACCCGGGGCTCCAGACCCCATGCCTGCCCTCGCCTTTTTCCGGCACCCGCGACTGCGACCACCACTTGCTGGTCATCCGTCCAGTTTCTGGAATAAACCACTGAAATGGTGACACCGGACGGCACGGTTTGCAGGAGTCAGGTGGGGCATCTGATGCCGGACCCGGTGTGCGGTTGCCAGGAGGCCTTTCTGGGTTGTCCCGGCCCAGGGCGCCCCGGGGACCACTCACTGCCGGCGCAGGCTGCTGGAGCCAGGGGTCCCGGCTTGGTGGAGCCCATGTGACGCGGTGGGTCCACAGGATGGGGTTGGGGGTCCCGGCTTCGGGTAGGCCCCGTTGTCCCTGAGGACCTCGCCCCGCGCCGCCCCGAGAGCCCCGGCACCTGCCCGTGGCGCTCGAGGTGCCCGGGGTTCCCTGGTAGCGCTCCTGGCAGGTCGCGGTGGGGCGCCAGGCAGACGTGCACAGTCTCCG